CGTTCGAGAAACCTTTAATCGCGGTTGCCTTACAGATGCAGGGTACGCCTTCTCAGCATCGAGATGGAGGGAACATTCGGTCGCGTGTACAGAGGCAGTTATCACGAGGAGGGCGCGTCCTCACCTAGGGATGTCCTGGTGAAAACTGCCGCCGAGCATGCATCGCAGTCCCAAGTGAGCCCTTCCTCTTTCAACAATATTATAATTATATTAGGCGTGCGAATAAATACTTTCCCTTACCCTCCAAATTCAAAATTTATTCCGAATTTAAATCATTTTTCATAAGATACACCGTTTTATAACTTCGATATTCGATTTTCCAAGAACGCGAGAAGTAAGCAACGAGCGCCATATTGCTCGAAATAACCCTTTCGCTACGGATTCTGCTTTCACTGTGTTTATTAGAAAAAAAAATTTTCCTCGAAACCCTTCGAATAATATTATGTAGTATATAATAATATGATATAATTGTAATAATAAGTTGATAACTGTGAAACAAATAATTAAAAACGAAATACCGATTGGCAGAGAAAAATGTACTCGATGTACGATAACTCGAATCGCTTGTCTTGTGCAGAGCGAAAAATAAAAAAAAGTTACGATGATGGAAAGAAAGGGGGAAGGAATTTGTTTGCACGCCTAAACTCCTCCTCTCGTGCGCTTGTAACGTTTTGTATTTTCATACGGCGAGTCGAGAAATTGAAATTTTTGTTCGAGCAAGGTCGCCCTTCTGCTACGAGAGGGTTTAGCCCTGTACGGTTTGAGCCATCCAGCCCTGCTCCCAGTTTTGGGCGTCTCGATCGAGGATAGAAGCGCTCCTTTTCTCTTGTACCCGCACACCGGTTACAAGAACATGAAGAGGTTCTTGGTGAGGTGCAAGCTGAGCAGCGAAGGGCCACCGAGAGCACTCACCACGCAAGAAGTCGTGGAAATGGCACTTCAAGCTGCCAAAGGGGTCCAGTATCTTCACAGAAAGAGGCTGGTGCACAGAGACTTGGCCGCAAGGAATTGCGTGTAAGTGAGGGAGGAGCGTTGAATCGCGGTGTTTAACGTGGCATCAACTTCGTTCTCTCCGCTCGCGATTTCAAAAAGCCCGCCAATTAAAGGATATTAAAAGATATAAGTTTCAATCGCATTTGTGTTATTAAATATAATAATCTCTCGTGAGTAAATAGTGCGAAAGGTGGCCGGATAATATTTGCGACCGAACGTAGGTATTTATTCGCGTCGAATATTTTTCAGTAAAACACACCAGTCGGTTAAGTTTCGTTACAAAATTAATTGGCCGTGTGGCATTAATTAGCAATAAATAGCGTGGCCGGCTCGGTCGAGACTGTTTAATTACCGTCCGCTACTGTTTCGTCGTCGCGGGGATGACTTTAACATCTCCCCCCCCTCCTCTTCTTTATAGCAGTTTTTGCGTTCACCGCTCGACGACGAATTTAAACCGAGCGCTCGTTTATTTTACGCGCCCCTCGAATCTTTATTATTAACATCTCGGCCAATTTAACGCCCCACAGTGGTTCGAACGATGTATTCAAATTTATAAGAAATAATTGTTTCGTTGCAACGTATAATAACCACGCGTTGAAACTCTTTTACGTTAAAATATTTAATTTCTCTCTTTTAAACGTTTATGGATTAAACGAAATAAGCAGAGAACTTTGGATTGGTTTATTGGTATACGTTTCGATAATTGGGAAATATTCCGTAAATTTATTAAGAAGCGTTTAAATTTCAATTTTATGACGGATCTCGATATCTCTTTTAATTTAAATCGTTATCGATAAGTTTTTTATTATTTTTTTTTTGTAAATTAAGCTTAAAGTTAAGTAATTATTTCATATCAGAAATTCACACAATGTAATGATTTGTCGATAATTTTTTATAATGATTCTACTTTATTTTACTGTCATATTTGATTCGTAAAACTTTGCGAGACTATACTAAAATTAATACATTATATTTATGGATTAATTCCATATCTTATATTGTAATATATGCATTTCTATTATTTATTATATTTTTATTTATTTATTATATTTTATTTATTATTTATTATATTTTGAAGAAGTAAGGAATATAATAATATTCCTAATTTTAGTTGACAATTTTTTTATTTCTTTCAATTATGAGTACGTCTTCTTACGATCCTCTTTTCATTTTATAATTTTCAGTTTCATTGTTTTTATTGTAATTTTGTCAAATTATCATTTATTTAGGCCCATATCTATCGAATAATTTATAAAATAGATTTCGTTAGAATACCATTTTCAATTCTCAAGATTCAATTTATCGTATGTTTGTCAAACTCGAAATGCTTTCTAATCTTAATTGCCTGCTATAACTTTTTTGCTACATCTCCCGCGCGAATTTTGTCACGCTTCTTAAGGTTCACAAATTACAAATATATTATACATTTCTATATTTATATATCGATTATTACGTATTCTCTTTTTTATTCTATAATTAATTAAACGCAATATTTAATTTCTTACGTTATATACATTTTCAATAAAATAATAAATCGATATTATTATTAACAGCAAATATTCTATTTCCTAAGAATTAAATCTCCGTATTAAGTTTAAAAACCAATAAAAAAGAAATAATTTTGTCGCTGTCGTTCGAACCACCGTGCTCTCTCTCTCTCTTTCTCTCTCTCTTTCTTAAACTAACTTCCCGTCTTTTTTTTCTCTCTCTCGTTTTCAGCGTTGACGACGATCTGAGAGTTCAAATCACGGACAACGCCCTGGCCAGGGACCTGTTCCCTCAAGATTACCATTGCCTGGGGGACAACGAGAATCGTCCCATCAAGTGGCTGGCCATCGAAAGTTTGCTCAACAAGACGTTCAGCACCGCCTCCGACGTGGTGAGCGAGCGAATATCTTTCTAATAATTCTAGTGATACGAATCATGGGGTGATCCCTTCGATCGAAAAGATATATATATATACTTTGATTCGAAATATATATATCTGTGTTCCACAGTGGGCGTTCGGTGTATTGTTATGGGAGTTGACCACGTTGGCGCAGCAACCGTACGTGGAGGTGGACGCGTTCGAGATGGCTTCCTACCTCAGAGACGGGTACAGATTGGCGCAACCGATAAATTGCCCCGACGAGCTGTTCGCCGTTATGGCTTATTGTTGGGCGATGTCGGCCGACGAGAGGCCCACGTTTAGCCAGTTGATCGTCTGCCTTCAAGATTTCCACACTCAATTGACCAGATACGTTTAAAATACGTTCTATTCGAGGAAAATACGATACGAATTTTGAGAATTTCGATAGAATATATACGTGTATATAAATATATATAATAGTGTCTAGTACTTAAAGGATTGATTTTCGAAGAGGATTTTCAAAGAGGATCGAAATATATAGATATTCGCGACGAAATTGTATCGTTTATTCAGATAAATCGGCGCGTAATTTTATAAAAGAAGAGAAAAAAAAAAAAAAAAAAAAAAGGGTATCGTAGAAATTTATCATGTAAATTCTTCATCAGAAGTAGGATGATGCAAGCGTATGTAATTTCTGTAATAATACCGGTTAATAACCGGTTACACGCTGTACTGAAATTCGGAGCGTAGAAGAGCGTATAATTTATCTCTTAAGTTAAGACTGAATTAATTAATTGATTAATTGATTATTCATCGCCATCATTGTATGTGTACGAAATCACGAATTTTCACGAAAACGACTGGCAAACAATCCTTCATCGACGTGTAAAAAAAAAAAAAAAAGAAAAAAA